AAAGCAAGAAGGTTTTTTTTTTTTTTTTTTTTTTTTTTTTTTTGAAATATCCAGGGAATTGTTTCGAAAATCGGTTTCCTCCCCTCCCCATTGCAGTTTAATTTTAAACCAAGATTTTTCTCAACAAACCATTTTTTTACAAAAAGTTTTGTACACATTGTAAAAACTCATATCCTAACATAATGATTTTATTTTTCTCTCATTTTTTTTTAAATTATTAATTTAATTAATTTATATAAACACAAAATTGGATTAAACAAAAGATAATAATAAAATTTGATTACTTTAATAACTGTTTGAATATAAAAAAAAATGACAAACAAATTCAGATTTTTTTAAAAATCAAAATAAACAATTTACATTCAAAATGGACGCAAAAATGAGTACACAAACATTTAAACCTCAATAAAATAATAAAATATTAATTTATCATCAATTAAAAATTATTAATTAATCTTTAAATAATTAAATTAATGACGTTATTTTAAAATAATTCCATGCAGCAGAACAAAAAAAAAAAATTAATAATTATAAATAATTTTGTTTAAAACAAAACACAGTATAACATTGGCGGCCATTTTTAATTTTTTAAATAAATAAAATTTTAATAATGAGAAATTTATATAAATAAATTTTCTTTTCTTTTTTTTTATATATTATTCGGCCATTTTTAATTAAAATAAACGATTTAAATATGAATAATTTATTTTTTATTTCGGACTTTTTTCATTTTTAAAAAAAATTTCATCGTGGATTCGAATTTAACGGTCACAAATAGAAAGTAATTTTTATCTTTTTTCCTTTTTCATGTAAAATTCTTTTTTAATTTATATTTATCTCATGTTTCCTTTTTTTTAATTGAAATTTTTTTAAATAAATTTAAATAATCTCTCTCTCTCTCTTGTATTCATTTGGGTAAAATGTCGAATGTGTGTGTGTATGTGTGTGTAAGGGGAAAATATTTAATATAAAAATATTTTGATTTATTTTGTTAAATAAATGAAATTTTTCTATTATGTACAACAGAAAGGAGAGAATCGACTCTTTTATTTAAAATATACACGTGTGTAAAAGAAAGTAGAGAAGAAGAAGAAGAAAAAGAAAAGGGTATAATTTCATTGTAATACATTTACAAAACATTATCCCAGATAGTCAGTGGAAGGAGAAAAAAAAAAGAAAAAAAACTGAACGCGCAGTGAGTTTGAACGCGCAGTCAGCAGAGCCCCGTCCCCCCCCCCTCTGAACTCCGTACGTACCGAAAAAGGTTCCCAAGTTCTAAAGACCCGACAGAGCGCAAGACCAATCAATGACACGGGACGCTATGTTCACTATTTTCATCTTTATCTTCCACGTTATTTTCCATTTCCTTATCTCTCTCTCTCTCTCTCACTCACTCTTTTTTGTACTAGTGTTTCGTTCAAGTTTAACATACATTTGCTAAATTAATATTTATAATTTACATTACTAAATTCATTAATGTTTTCATTTCTTTTGAATTTTTTTTTCTTTTTCATATTATTTATTTTGTGAAAAATTATATAAATAAATAAATAGATAATTATAAATATGTTTACGTAAGTATTTATATATTGTTTTATTGTTTTTGTTTATTCATTTGAGCTAAACATCTATTGCTTTTATTTCGAAGTTGTCCTGTACGGAAGTGATCTTGTAAACAGGGCGTCAACTTTAATAGTGAAACCTTTTCTGTTTAATTTTTTTCAAATTTATTTTTTGTTTCATTTTTTTTTAAATATAAAATTCGAAGTTATTAAAAAACGTTTAACTGATACGTAAATTCGTTATTCGATTGTTGTTATTTTATTATTATTATTTATATAAACAAATATTGCCGATTTTATTGATATTATATTTCGTCGTTGTTGGAAAAATAAAATGGCGTAAGGGTTTTTATATATTCATTTTTTCCTCATCTCATTATCAAAAAATTTTTTATTTTTATTTTTAAACAAGTTTATTATTGTTTTTTTTTTTTTTAAACTTATTATTTATAGTTTTTATTTTTAATTATTTAAATCTGGTTATTGTAATATTTCTCTCTCGGCATTTTAAAATAATAATTTAAATTATGATGCCATTAATTTCACTGAAAATTTTTTTATGAAATATTTTTAATGATTTTTATAAATTTTTTTTTTTTTAAACTCACATGGCTTTAAGTAAAAATTTTTGGATAGTTATTTATTTTTTTATTAATTAAACCTTTTTAATAAATTTTTCCCAGGGTAAATCACTGATAATTTAAAAAAAAAAAATTTGTTAAACATCCATTAATAATTTACACTACCTTGTTTCACTGCACTGCAAGCATTATTTAAAATTTAATTATTTGACACATAAAAAAATTTTTTTAAAATTATTTTACCCTAATTAAAAATTAATTATTTATTAAACTTATATTTAAACAAAAAAACAATTCAATAAAATAATTATTTAAACAAAAAAAAAAAAAATTAATTTGCTTCTTTTTCTGTTAATTTTTTTTTAGCTTACTGCAAATTTGATTTACCTTCCTTGTTTATCATTATTATTATTATTATTATTATTATTATTTTAAATTATTTATTTTAAATTGTTTAGGGTGTGGCAGAACATTTTATTTTATTTAAAATTAATAAATAATTCTATTTATTTTTAATAAATTATTTTTTAATGTACAAAAAAAAAAATTAAAATTTAATCAAATTTAGGTTTTAAATCCTCAAATTTTTTTTTTCCCCGCTCGTTTTTCCATTTAAATAAAAAATAAATTATTAATAAAAAAATAAATAAATTATTAATACTATCGCTATTATTTTAAATAAAAATTTATTAATTTTTTCTTTTTTTTCTTTTCTTTTTTCAGGAAGAATAATAATAATAATAATAAAATGTAAAATGTTGAGAAAAACGCGAAGATTTATTTAATCAAGCGTCGGATAAAATGGACGAAAATCAAATTTAAAAATTCTTAATAATAAATAAATAAATTTATTTATTTATTTACGTTTTTTAAAAAATAAAATAAATTAAATTATTAATTAATTCGTAAGTTACAAAAATGGTGGAAATATTTTTATTAAAATTATTATTGAATTTTCCACTATTTTTGATCACTTGAAAAAAAAAGAAATAAATTTTTTATAACGTTTTTTCTTATTTTTTTCAGCAAATAGTTATGTATTTATATTTTAGAATTAAAAAAAAAAAAAACAGTCGGAAAATTTTATTATTTAGAATAATAATAATAAAAAAATATATAAAAATAACTTTTGTTACCGTCAACAACGTTATTACGAACAATAACAAAAGTTATGGTTTGTTATGGCAGACAGTAGACAATAAGTTTTATAACGTTGATATTGAAATAATAAAAATAAAAAAAATTTTTTTACGATAGTTTTAGATAATAAAACGATCCGACTGTACTTTAGTTTTTTAAGTATTAGTATTAAGTTAGTTTTTAAGATAGTTTTAAGTCAATAAGAAACAGCCACACCCACCACAATAATTTAGATTTAAGTTCATTTAATTAATATAAATAAAAATAAAAACTGTAGTTAGGGGAAAATGGTTTTTTTTTCTTCAAAAACTCATTTTAGGATTCTCCAAAAAAATTTCACGATGATGACGTAGGTCGATGTTCACCATTGCTTTTAAAAGAGCAAAATGGTCATAATGGTTTATCTAAAGATGATGGATCAGAAGAAAATGGTAATAGTCGTCCGAGCAGTCGACAAAGTTCTCAAGTTAGCTATGGAAATTCAACTCATGATGATTATCAAAGGCTCATTCAACAACCGAATCAAATAAAATTCAAACATAATTTATTAAACGAACAACAACAACAACAACAACAACAAGATAACACAAAATTGTTTCCACATCAAATATTAAGTAGAGCTCAGTTACAGATTTTATTAAAACAACATTCTATATTTATACAAGATCAGCAAAATCATCATAAACAGGTTTTTATTAAACAGAATAATAATAATAATATTTCATTGCTGAGGTTGGTGTTTTATTGATGTTATGAAAATTAATCAATATTGGACACTCAACCTCAGTGTTAAAAAAAAAAAAAGAAATTTTTAACGACGTACAAAACCCAAATCCATCAATTTTTTTAACAGTATCATCCCTACTTTCTCCAACAGCGAAATGGGATAGAAAGGCGTCAGTTGGAACAAATAATGCAACAAATCCAAGAAAGATTACAAGCAAATTTCATACAACAAACACATTTATTAGATGCAATTGATAAAAAAGGTGGAGAAGTGGCTCAGTCACAATTGTTAGCCTTAAGACAAGAGCAACAGCAATTGATGCAACAGTGGCAATTTACTCAACGGAAATATTTACTACAAAGAGGTAATGAAATTTGATTACTTTAAAAAATTCAAAGTAAATGTTTACTTAACGATTTAATTATTATCCCGTCAGGATTAAATCCGGGAGAAATACCGAGTCCGTGGAAAGAACACCCAAGAGAAAATATAGATGGAAATCATCCATTAAATTATAAAAATTTTCACGGTCCGAATGGTAAATAACAGAACTCGATTTGATTTTCATTAAATAAATAAAAAAAATAAAATAAAAATTTTTTTTTGTTAGGTATCCTGAATCCTCTTGATTTCATCCGTTGGGACGGATTGAATGGTTTATCATCTTTACCCGAAGAATTTTTAGAAGAATTTGCAGAAAAATTAAATCCACTCTACGGACACGGAGTTTGTAAATGGCCAGGCTGTGAATCTGATTTTGATGACTTTCAAGCTTTCAACAAGTAAATTTTCTCCTACCAAAAAAAAAAAAAAAGAAAATTGTAAAACAACTTTTTATATTTAAATTTATTTTTAGGCATTTGAATTCGGATCATAATTTAGATGATAGAGCAACAGCACAGGCTCGGGTTCAAATGCAAGTTGTTTCACAGTTAGAAATTCAACTACAAAAAGAAAGAGATCGTCTTCATGCCATGATGGCACATTTACATATGGCTAAACAAGCCGTTGAACAAAGTAAAAATGAACAACATGTACGTTTACCTTTAAATTCATTCGGATTTTCTTTAAATAATAATAATAATAATAATCATTAAAATTGAATCGCCCATTTTTTAATAAGGAATCAAAGTTAAACATATCCTCTGGACCGAATTTGGATGAAAAACATTTGGATCATATTTCATTTACAAAAATGATTGCTGAAGTTCGTTCATCTGTTTTGCAGCCATTATCATCAAATATCAGCCCATCTGTAAGAAGAAAATTAAGTGAAAAAAATAATTCATCATTGGTTGGAGGTAATATTTAAATTTAAACACAAAAACAATTTTGTTAAATGTGCCCCTTATTATTATTATTATTTTTTTCTCAGGTATGTTTTCAGGCTTGCCTTACATGCTCGAAAGAGCTGGTTTGGATGTACAACAAGGTAAATTTTTGTTTTCTAATGTTATACCAAAACAATACGTACCTAATTTTTTTTTGTTTTTTGTTTTTCCGCAAAGAAATTCAAAGAAATCAAGAATTTTATAAAAATGCTGATGTTCGACCTCCATTTACATATGCTTCATTAATACGACAGGTATTTAAGTTAC